TGGAGTCTTAGCCACTGGACCGCCAGGGAATTCCCGCGTTGTGCAGTCTTGTAGAGGTCTAAACCCTACATCACCCTCTTTATTTTTTTAATTATAATAAAAAATTTTGAGAACCTGCTGGTTCTGTGCCTTATACTAGGAGTGGAGGATACAAGTAATGAAACACGATCCTCCTTATACCAGCTCGCTATTCTGAAAATTGGTAACTAAAGGGAAAGGATTAAACATTTTCCCTGTCTTTCCAGTGAGATCTGGGCATCAGGGTAAGAAAATGGCCCCAGTTGATGAATGATGGCTCTTCCTTAAAATAAATGCCAGCCAATAAATGCACAAGGAATAATAAAATTAGAGAAATCGCCATTTTGCAGCCTCCAGTGACGTAACTGATTTGTGCAATATAATCCCTGGACCCTCTGCTCAGACTCCAGTCCCCTGGGTGGGCTGCCACCGCCTCCCCATGTGGACTCCCTGTTCACCTCGCACCTAGACCATGTCCTGATCTGAAGCCCTCTCTCAAGCCCACCGGGCTGCTGCAGTTCCTCCCAGCCCACAGTGACCCTCAGGCCACAGGACCCCTTCTGATGGCTTCCAGACAGGAGGAGCGACTGCCGCTTTAGTTCTTGTTTAAAGAAGGAGTTGTACTGCAGCGTTCCGCATGGGGAAGGAATGCTGCTAATTCTAAAACTTGGGCTTCCCTGGTGGCGCAGTGGTTGAGAGTCCGCCTGCCGATGCAGGGGACATGGGTTTGTGCCCCGGTCTGGGAAGATCCCACATGCCGCGGAGCGGCTGGGCCCGTGAGCCGTGGCCACTGAGCCTGCGCGTCCGGAGCCTGTGCTCCGCAACAGGAGAGGCCACCACAGTGAGAGACCCGCATACCGCAAAGAATAAAATAATTCTAAAACTTTTCCTTCTTCATCTTGCCACTCTGAACAATGCAGTTTTTTAAACATTATTAAGTATTAATGTAAGATTTTACATTAATGGTAATGCTGTACCCTGGTTTTTACTTTTAAGAGATAATCAGTAGTTCAGATACTGTGAGAAGTGGTCAGTACTAGAGTCTCTGCCAGTTAATCCACCTGAGTTGCTATGCTTCCTATAAACATTTGAAATAAGGCATTTATTCACCTGATGTTGAGAGCCCACTCCACTTAGGGATAAAAAATTAGTTGAGTATTGCCTTTTTCTAGGGACTTATATTCCAGCTGTGGGGATGGGCATATATCCAGCTAACTGTCATGGATTGTGCGTATGTGCTTACATATAATACATGTCAAGCAGAGTATTACCCGAGTTCAGAAAAGTGAGCTATTCGTGGGATTGGCGTTGGTTCCTGGGAAACCTCTCAGAAGAGGTCACTTTTATGCTGGTATTTAGGGTCAGGCAATGGTGAGCATCAGGTCCTCAACTGAGAGGGTGTCGCGGAGTCAGGAAGGGCATGGAACTGTTGGTAGGAGCAGATGTGGCACAGAGATGGTGGTGGGAGACACCTGAGCAGACAGTGTGTGGAGCGTCTTTGCTTAAAGAATTTGGGCTTTATTTACTAGGCAGAGGGGATTGGTTAAAAGATTTTTGAGCCAGAAAGGTGATTTATGTTTCAGAAATAACACTCAGGCAGGAATTTCAAGGAGGAATCAGATTGCAGTCAGGTAAAGCAAGTCTCCCTAATTCCAGACAGACTAAGGCCCTGTCAGTTGAGATGTTGGAAGGGCAGCCAGTTGGAGAGCCACTTGGGGAGGTTTCAGCTGTGGGGCCACCCTGTCCCTCACACACCCCCAGGCAGTTGCTCTGGTTTCCCAAGGTCTTCCTATGGCTGGCATCTCTTCAGTGTTACAGTGTCACTGCACGTGGGTCCTCCTCAGAGAGGGCTGCTCCATCTTAATAAGCACGCTGTCCGGCACCACTATGTTAGCTGTGTCTTGCTCTATAACAGTCACCTCAAAATGTAGTGGCCTTCCAAAGAAGAAGAAATTGAGGATAAAAAGACCAAGTGAAGGCAGAACACAGAGAGTTTTTTGGGCGGTGAAACTATTTCTGTATGACAGTGTACTGGTGGATACATGTCATTACACACTTGTCAAAACTCATAGAATGTACAACACCGCGAGTGAACCTGAAGGTAAACTATGGACTTCAGGTGATAATGATGTGTCAGTGTAGGTTCCTCGACTGTAACAGACGTCCCGCTCTGGTGCAGGATGTTGATAGTGGGGGAAGGCTCTGCCTGGCGGGGGAGGCAGGTGTACATGGGGAACTCTGTACTTTCTGCTGTATTCTGCTGTGAACCCAAAATGGCCCTAGAAAAAGAAAATCTGTTATAAAAAAAAAAAAATGTAGTGGGCTTAAACAACAAGAATCATGTTTGAGCTCATAGTTTCTGCAGGTGAGGAGTTCAGTCAGGGTGCAGTGGTGGGCAGTGACTGGTCTCTGCTCCAGCCTCTGGGCCTCGGCTAGAAGATATGGGGGTGGAGCCTCAAGTCATCTCCCACAGGGCCTGGCAGTTGATGCCAGGGAATGGCCACATGTAGCCCATGTGGCCTGGTGTCCTCACAACGTGGGCAGAGGGTTCCAAGTACCCCAGTGGAGAGAGCCAGGTAGAAGCCACATTGCATTTTATGATTTTGCCTCGGAGGTCTCAACAGCATCACTTCCACTATAATCTGTTGGTTTAGGCAGTTACAAAGGTTTGGCCAGATTCAAGAGAAGGGAAGATAGATCCTGCCCTCTTGATAAAAATTCAGCCAAAGATCTTGAAACAGGAGCATGGGTAAGGGTTATATTGGTATGACCCTCTTTAGAAAATCCAGTCTGCCACAGCTGTGTTTAAAGTTGCTCACACCACTTATCCTGTCTTTGTAGATGTTTAAGAATCTCATCAAGCCTCCCAAAGTGTGGCTTCTGTTACTTTGTCCACACTCCCAGAGGTGTGTGGAGACGTCAGCCTCGGTACTTGGCCTCACTGAGCTGGGAATTTCCTGTATGCTGTTTTTTTTAAATCTGGGATTTGTTTTGTGGTTCCACTGACCCACAAAAAGCTGTGGATGAAGTCTGGACCCATCCACGCTGTGTGGGGCTGAGTGTAGTAGAGGGCAGTGAAGGATCTGGGAATCCTGGTCAGGGGCTTGCAGTGCATTTACTCTGCTGCTGAGATGCAGTATTTCTCCTCTGAGCGCACGACTCAGAATATGGCTTCAAGTGTCCATTTACATGCAGAAGGCAGACCAAGTGCTGAGCTTTGATTGAACTTGAATCAGAGGATGAGGTGTTAGCCCTGAAAAAAGAGAAACTGTGGGCTGTATTGAAAGTTGAAGCCACACGGAATTGATGTGAATGGGTTGTAGTCCAGTGTGGCAAATGATGACTTCTGGATGGCTTAGAGGGCCCACCTTTGCATGTAAGGAGAAATTGCTCCTCTCTTGCTTCCTGAGCAGGAATCACGCCTGCAGGGATTGTACTGCTAGTGAACTGAGTATTCCTGTAGTTTGTTTCATGCGACTTGGTAGAATAGGCTCTAAGGAAACAAATAGGGTGCAGGTATGTCGAAAGCCTCAAGATCAGTCAAGCTGAGGTTAGAGCTTACCACGGTCCCCCTGTAAAACTTATGGCCCTCCATCAGCTCGATCCTCTGACAGGCCCGGGACTGTCGAGGGTGCAACGGCATCAGCAAGCTGGCCGGCTTGAGAGGTGAGGCTGGTGCTGGGGGGTGCGGGGTGGTGATGGAGGCTAAGAGGGGACTGTCAGCTGTGAGAGGGCCCGGACAGCCTCACCATGCAGCTCTGTTAGGGTGCGCTGAGAGCGTAGCCTGCGGAAGAGCAACTGGGGAAGCAAATGTGGCATTGGCTCCTTTTGAAGATGCAGTGACAGTATGTCAAAAGACGGAAATTGGGCAAACAGATACGTCACTTCTCTTGAATGCTGCGGTCGAAGCAAGTAGCAGGGCCTGTGGGGTCAGAGGTGCCACATGGGGATGCCAGTGTCCAAGGCTACTGGAAGACACTGGTGAGGTGGATGGGAGCATTCAGGATCTTTCTGAATTGTCGAGAACTTGAACTATGAGATCTCTGAGCAGAGGTTGATGTCCATTTACGTCTCATGAGTATCTCTGAGGTGTGTCCCTTCCTCCTTATCCTGTTTTTATGGCCTGAGCTCAGACCCTTTTCACTTATTAGGTGAATTAAAGCAGTAAGCCTCCAAAGTGATCTCTGTCTTCCAGGCTGCCTTCTGCTAGACTCTGCCCTGTCTTTGTTAACATCTCCCTCTCTTTCTCGGGTTAGTTCCCCAGGAGCTAGGAATTAAAATATCCTGCAATTGTACAGGATTAAATATGTTATAGTTACTTTCCTTATACATTGGAGCTGGAGTAGCACCAAAGCGTTGAATGGTGAAAGGCCAGCAAGTACTTTTGTGAGTCAGGAGAAATTAGAAGCTGGGTGTTTTATTTTAAAAAAGATTCATCTTCAATATGTGAAATATCTTTTAAAGCTTTGGGAGTGGGTTTGGCTACGTGGAGGGGGAAGGAGGGAGGAAGGAGGTAGGAAGAGAAGGTGGAGGACCAGCAGGAGGTCAGGTCTGCGGAGAGAGGGCAAGTGCGGGAGAGGAGCTGATCCCACGGTGATCACCCCCGAGCGTCAGCAGGAGAGGTCTGGTCTCCTAGTCTCTAGTGGGTAGCCTTATTTTCTGAGCAGGACAGTTTTTGTCAAGTGGCCTAAGCAAGGTTGCTGTGGGATAAGCAGATAATGAGAGGTGAGGATACTATCCTCTGAAGATGTGTTCTGTTCAAGGCTCCTCCAGCCTGTTCCTGTCTGATGCGCAGCAGCTGCCTTTCAGATTGTGGTGAGGATTAGGTAAGAGTGAGTGTGTAGAATTCCAAGAAGCATCTGCCACATAGGAATGGTAGTAGTTACTTGTCATCATTACTGCTGTTGTCTTTTTTGTGTTTATGTTTTGATGTTAAATTGGTTAGAATCTCTAAGAACGTGTCCTGTTATTTTCTCTCTTAGATCTGTGACTTTGGCTTGGCCCGTGTTGCAGATCCAGACCATGATCACACAGGGTTCCTGACGGAGTACGTTGCCACACGTTGGTACAGGGCTCCGGAAATTATGTTGAATTCCAAGGTAAGGACCAAGTTTCCATAAAAAGAAAAACAAGAGGCAAAAGGACTTTGGACGTGAGTTGCAGTAAGCCTCCCACTCAGTAAGTCTCTTTCAACCTGGGTTGAGGCCTGGCCTGTCTGGTCAGAACCAAGGTATGTCTTTGTCTCCTGTTCAACACTGAACTTCTGGGCCCTCAGCTGGGGTAGTGCTGATGTGTTACAGAGTTGGAGGGCCCGCCTCCCTAGTCACTGGTACAATGAATGTTCTGTGTCCCACCCCCTGGTCAGCTCGCCTGCAGTCCTACCTGGGGCAGCTTTCACTCCTGTGGCTGCCACTGCCAGGGTCAGGCTGGCTCTGTGTCAGAGATGAGCTCTGTATACGGTGTGTGTTTCTGTGAATGCGGACCAGAGCTTTTCTGTAAAGGTCAGACATACCTGATAATGAAGAATGCCTCTTTAGCAAAATTATAGTATAATTGGAAGAAAACATTGGTGTGGAAAAAATTGGAGCTGCTATAATTCTTTCAAAATTATGTGATGGTCCTGCTTCCAAATGGTAGTCCCTGCATCTGGATCAAAAGCACACTTCTAACAAGGTCTTTGTCTGGGTCATAAGGAATGATTGAAAAACTTACAAAAGCAAGAGAAAGTGAAGCACAGCATCCTTGTTAGGTGTATGAGCAACAGTGGCAAACAGTGAGGGCTGCTGTGGGGATTCAGTTTTGTTTTTTATTTGTTTTATCTTTTGGGCATGCCACACGGCATATGGAATGTTAGTTCCCTGACCAGGGGTCGAACCCGTGCCCCCTGCATTGACAGCACAGAGTCTTAACCACTGGGCCACCAGGGAGATCCTGGAGTTTCAGTATTTTTAATATATCATTTGAAAATAGTATTTGAATAAGGTGTCACATTTGAGAAGTTAAGTGCACCTGACATCTAATATCTAATCCTGTATCTCATATCTCAAGACAGATTCTTGATCTCAGTTCCATCTTCCATAATGTAACATTAATATACATGAAGAAAAGCTATAAAAATAGTGACTTCCCTGGTGGCTCGGTGGTTAAGACTCCACACTCCCAATGCAGGGGGCCTGGGTTTGATCCCTGGTCCAGGAACTAGATCCCTCATGCATGCCGCAACTGAGAGTTCTCATTCCACAACTAAGGAGCAGGCAAGTCACAACTAAGGAGCCCGCCTGCCTCAACTAAGACCCAGTGCAACCAAAAAAAAAAGAAAGAAAAAAGCTGTAAAAACAAACTTTGGACCCCGTGTTCAGGTGTAGGAACCAGAAATCATCCTGAGAGGCTTCTTGGGAATGAAAAGAACAGGTGTAATTAGCCCATAGGCTGCATTCTCTTCCTCCATCCTTTACGAGTCAAAGGGCTTGGGATGTAGGTTGCTTTTGTGAGGAAACGGAGTTTGTTTAAGGCAGTTAGTTATTCTTGATATCATACCTGTGTTTAGTTTAGCTATGGAAGTAAAATTTCATTAAAATAAATTCCATTGTAAAGAAGGATTTGGTGTAACAGATGTTTCAAAGGAGAAAATGTTGTGTTGATTCTCTCATAATTCTGTACAATCCCACACAACGGGTTCTTGCTGTGGATAGATGGGCCACGTGACAGTCTCTCCACGCCAGAGGCGCCCATGTGTGCAGCAGTGCCTGCCAGCTGGAAGGAAAGCTGTCCTTTGCGTCCTGGGGCCTTGTGGTCTTACAGCATCCATCCCCATTTGAGCCGCTCCCCTGTCTTCACTTCTTGGCCACCCTCCAGGGGGAAGTAGCCAGGAGGGTGGCCTCTGTTTTTGCAGAGTTAACTATAGTCAAAACTGAGTTTGAATCCTTTTTTGATTTATAGCACCTCTAGCCTGAGAATGTTTTCTAGCAATGTATTCAGGATTTTCTTTTTTATTGATACAGAACATTTTCACACCCACAGAAGAGAGTCCAGTGAACACCCATATTCCCCTTACAGCACCAGCTGTTGACATCCTCTGCCTCCCTCACTCTCCCGTTCTTCTCTCTCTTCCCTTGTGTCAAACCCTCTGACACTTCACCAACATAAACCAGCACTGCACACCTCGACTGACGCTAGGAGTTCACTAATACTCCCGAAAAGGCGGTGTGCTTCCCCACAGCCGCAGTACCCTGCGAGCACCTGTGACAGCCGGCGCTCATTCAGTGCCATCCCAGTTGTGTGTGTCCCCCCCCATCTGGGACAGTCCTCCCACCTTCCTGGCTTCTCCATGACACAGAATACTTGGCAGAGCACAGAGGTGGTGTTGTGCCCAGCGGGTCTCTTTCTGAATTCTTGGGACTGGCTCCTCCTGATTAGGTTTAGATCACACTTTTCTGGCACAAACCCCAGTCTTTGAAGCCATGTGTGTGACTCCTCTTTCCTGGCAGCCTCTCCCCCAGGGGTGCGCCCTTGAGGACCATTGTCTCCATTGCAAAACGTGATTTTCTAAATTGATTGTTCCTTTTACATTGATGAGCTGGCATTCTCTGTGAAGAAGAGGTTTCTCCCTTTTCTCTTTCTCTTCCTCTGACCCCTGTCTTTGTTTTGAAAACATGATTGTGGACTCATGGTGGCTGTGGGGGTTTTTTGTTTGTTTGTTTGCTGTCCATTATCTTTTTTTTATATATATATACTCATTTTCCCAGCTTTGGCCACCTAGAGCGCTCTGTGTGTGTGTATTTGTAACATTTCATTTTGATAGAATTTTCAATTCGCAGAAACATTGCAAGAAAAGAAAAGTCAGGGGTTCTCAAACATTCCGTTCTCAAGACTCCTTCAGTGTCTGAATGTCTAAAAATTTATCCAAGACCCCAAGCAGGTTTTGTTTATGTGGGTTTTATTTATCAATATTTACTATATAGAAATTAAAACTGAAACTTTTTTTTTTTTGGCTGCGTTGGGTCTGTTGCTGTGTGCAGGCTTTCTCTAGTGGCGATCAGGGGCTACTCTTCATTGTGGTGCATGGGATTCTCATTGCAGTGGCTTCTCTTGTTGTGGAGAACAGGCTCTAGGGCAAATGGGCTCAGTAGTTGCAGCTTCCCAGACCAGGGCTCGAACCCATGTACCTTGCATTGGCAGGCGGATTCTTAACCGCTGAGCCACCAGTTTGGAGCCCCCAAACTGAAACTTTTTAAAGTATTTATTAATTTTTAAATTAATTTATTTTAAAATAAATGTTAAAAAGTTAGATAGTTCTCATTTTAAAAATGTTTATTTTCCACAACAAAAACATTTTAGTGAGAAGAGTAGTGTTCTCATCTTTACAAATCTCTTCAGCGTCTGGCTTGATTTGAACACTGCTGGATTCTCACCTGGTTCTGCGTTCAGTCTGTCAAATATGTTGTTTTGGTGAAGTTAGTGAAGAGTTAGTGAAGAGTCTTCGCACGAAGCTCGGAAAGGGAGAGTTAGTAGTCTTTTCAGCTACTCTTGGCTCATCATTGATACCACACCAAAACCCAGCAGAGGAAGGGCTAATTGCCACGTGAAATCTGAAACCATGGCATCCATTGGTCTTCCTGACACCAACACCCATGCGTGATTCTGTAACACTGAGCGTTAGGGAAGCACGGTTCACTGTTGTCATGTTTCACGTATAATATCCTGTAATGTCATGTAACCTCTAGAAAAATCTCCTGTACACATGTGAGAGAATGAGTGAAGAGGAAAACAGAATCACAATCGTATTAAAGCAGAGGGAAGCCGCCTCACAGAGCTGCTGGCTGGAACTGTCCACCCTTCACCTCAGATGCACGCTCACCAGCTCTTTGTTTTGTCCCGTTTGCTTTTTCATTCTCTCTCTGTGTGCCTGTTTTTGTGAGTCATTTGAGAATGGATTGTAGATGTGCACCTTTAGCACTAAGCATTTCACCGTGTGTGTCCTTAGAACAGTAGTTCGAATGTTCCCTGAGGACATTTGGTTGTGTTTAGAGACATTTTTGGTTCTCACAACTAGTAGGAGAGGTGCTGCCGGCATCGAGCAGTGAGAGGCCAGAGCAGTGGCGAGCACCCTGAGGTGCGCAGGCCGGCCCCCCAACAAAGACTTGTCCAGCCCAGAGCAGCAGCAGTGGAGGTGAGAAAGAAGGGTGTTCTCTCCCATGACCATAGTACAGTAATCAAAAGTGGGAAAATTAACACTGATCCAATAGTAATGCCCCGTTTATATTCAGATTTTGGATATTGTCCCAATAATAACCTTTATAGCTTTTCTCAATATGTGTGCAAGGCTCACACATTGCATTGTTACTTTAGTCGCCTTTAATCTGAAATAGTTCCTCAGCCTTTCTTGACCTTGATGTTTTTGAAGGGTACGGGTCAGCTACTTGTAGCACGTGCCTCAGTTTTGTGTCATGCATTTGAGGCATGAATACCACAAAAAGAGTGTTTTCTTCTCAGCGCATCATCTGTCACATCAGGAGGCACACCTGGTTTGTGTCGGTATCGGTGAAGTTCATGTTGATCTTTTGGTTAAGATGGCGTCCTCCAGGTCTCCACCATCATTATGGTTATAGTTACTGTTAATTATAGTAATAATAATTACCATGTTGGACTTCCCTGGTGGCGCGGTGGTTAAGAATCTGCCTGCCAATGCAGGAGATACAGCTTCGAGCCCTGGTCTGGGAAGATCCCACATGCCGCGGAGCAACTAAGCCTGTGCGCCACAACCACTGAGCCTGCGCTCTAGAGCCCGTGTGCCTAGAGCCCGTGCTCCGCAACAAGAGAAGCCATTGCAATGAGAAACCCGCGCACAGCAACAAAGAGTAGCCCCCGCTCGCTGCAACTAGAGAAAGCCTGCGTTCAGCAACAAACACCCAACGCAGCCATAAATAAAATGAATGAATGAATCAATCTACTAGGAAATTGTGGGAAGATACTTTAAATCTCTGTAATTTATTGACGAGAATTGTTTTGAAATTCAGCCCATTTTATCATAGCTGTAGATCTGATCATTAATTCTTTGATTTTCAAAAAATACTTTGCTATGTTTCCATAAACTTTAATATTTGGATAAATTTTTTTCCCTCTAGCTTTTCTCCACATTTCTTCTTCTATTTATCACTATGCCTAAGCATTCTCCATAAAACTCAACTTACGTAGTAACATCTTTTTTTTTTTTTACTGTTGTATGATAATTCTTCCATGTCTTTTCACCAAATTCCTTTAAAAGAAAAAATATACCTGAAAAATCAATAGAAAAAGGAGATAAGCAATAGGGATCAGTGAGACATGATGGAGCCAGCACGTGCTTCTTTTCAGCAGAGATCATGGGTAATTGTTGTGTTTTGTTTTTAATGATTTTCAAAATGGATAAAGATATTCTGGAAATGTAGCAATGCCCCCCCACCTTTTATAATTAATTTATTTGTTTTTTATTTTTATTTTTTGGCTGCTTTGGGCCTTCGTTGCTGCACGCGGGCCTTCTGTACTTGCGGCAAGTGGGGGCTACTCTTTTTTTTTTTTTTTTT